GCGCGCCTGGGCTGCCCCGCCACCGGCTTCCCCCGAGGCTTTGCAAAGCCGCATACCCGGCATATAAGACGACCCCCGATTTTTGGGGGATGTTTTTTAACATCAAAAGTAGTCTTATACGCCGGAAAATACGGTACTTTAAAAGCACTAGTGATGTCCGTCCATAATAACATTTCATACAGACTAGGGATGTAAGTGGCTAGTTAACTTGTCACTCCCCTCGCTCTCCCCTTGCTGCCTCTATCAGAAAGAGGCAGCAAGGGGGGGAGAGAAGGTGTTGGGGGGGGAGGCGGCTTAAGAGCGGGTTCCCCAGCTCCAGCTCCATGGGATGGAGCAGGGGCACAGCACTGGCATTCTACCTTTGAAATGCACAAGAGACCCTGCTGCTGCTCTTGAACATTTCAAAGCGAAAGTACCAGATGGAGCCCAGGGCTGGCCCAGGCACCATGCAGCTCTTCCACTTTGAAATGCCGTGTGGAGTCTAGGCTCCATGTGGTATTTCCGCTTCAGAATACACAAGAGCTGCAGCAGGGAATCTTGTGCATTTCAAAATGGAAGCGCCACATGGAGTCTAGGGTTTGTGAGGACTCCCGCGTGGCTCCAGGCTCCATGCTGTGTTTCAAGCAGCGAGCACTTCTGCCTTTGAAATGTAGCAACAGCCAGGCCATTTCTTGCTACGTTTCAAAGCAGAAGCATCCTTATCAACTAATTGAATAGTCGATGGAAATTCCATACACTATTTGATTAGTTGATAAATCTAATTTTAACATCCCTAATACTTACTAATACAGACAATGGTTTGTTTATACTTCTCTATATATTATATACTAAAATGTAAGTACAGGTTGGACCTCCCTGGTCCTGAATGAGAGATTTTTGCAGGTCTGGGGAGGTCTGCAGGTCTTTTGCAGGTCTGGGAAGGTAATTTCTGCCCCCTTGATGTCATCCCCTCTCCTCCCCCCTCCTCCCCCTGCCCCCGCCCTGATGTTTCACAGGGCTTCCTAGCTCCCCTGGGCCATGCACTGAGCTTCCCTGGCTCCAACCCCCCCTTCACCCACAGTCCATCTGGGCTGCATGCCGGGCTCTTGCCCCTCCTCCACAACTGCATCATATCGGCACCCCCGCCCTCCGCCCTGCAGCACACTGAGCTCCCTGCTTTCTCCCCTACAGCGCACCAGGACTCTTTGATCCTGGAACATTCGTGGTCTGGACCAAAGAGTCTTGGTTTAGAGAAGTGTAACCTGTACAATGTTTATATTCCAGTTGATTTATTTTATAATTATATGGTCAAAATGGGAAAGTGAACAATTTTTCACTAACATCAAGCTTGAAGGGAGGCCACTCTGCCTCATTACAATTCCCAACAAAGTTTGCTTTTTTCACTTACTGTCTCTTTTAAATGTCTGTTTCATAGATTCTTCTCTGAGTTTTCTCCTTTTTTTTTTTCCTTCCTTTATATCAAAAAGGCATGATATTTAATTGGTATGTTCATTTTACAAAATTTAATTTAATCTCTTACGTTTTGGATTTATACCTCCATGTTTAGTTGTAATTGTTTCAGATATGCTAAAGTGCAAAACCTTTATTGATGCAGCTTATTTAACCAGAAATTTATATTTTATTCAACAAGCTGTAAAATAGTTTAAATAGGCTATTTCTGTATTCTTGTTGTTCTTGATTTCCAGCAACTAAAATTAGAGATTTCGATCTTACTTTCATAATGTAAGTAAATAGCTATTGGATAATTGATGCAACATAAATCTTATAACACTTTTTTTTCCAATATAGCTTTGAAAAGAGCACTAGAAAGCATTCTTCAATACAGTATTGTGTACTTTGTTTTAACCTGCTTAATGTTATGTACAAAAATTTAACCGTAATCTTCAAAGCATTTCTATTAGGTAGTAATTAAGTGTTATCGTTATTGCAAGGTTATTTTAGATGAGGATAATGATGCAATGAGAGACGTGACTTGCTCAAACCCACGAACAAATCAGTGACATAACCGTGATTTAAAAACAATGATTTTTCTGATCATTCCTCTAGTCCAGCGGTCTCCAAACTTTTTCCCATCACGCTTCATCTTACCTAAAATGGAACCTGACTGTACTCCTCCCTCCACATGCTGGAATGGGATCAGGAGCCAAGGCTGCAGATGGGATTGGGAGCAGGTCTGGGGCAGAGTGGGGCTGAGAGGTTACTCCCTCCCCAGCCCTTGTGTGGGCCGGGCTGGATCCTGATGCATGCTCCTGAACATTCCTTTGTGCCCCCTGGGAGGTATACCACACAGTTTGGAGACCACTGTTCTAGTCCATATTGCTTCTATAGTATAACTAGTTATCCTAGAATTTTTGGTTGTTTGCTATGTTTTTCAAAAGTTACTAGTAGTCATATAACCAAATTTAGAACAGTAATATATATCTTTTATGCTGCCTGTCATAAACACTGTGTATATATTTCATTTTGAGGTGAAACACTGTTAAATATACTTTAGTTATTTGGTTTTCATAAAGTCTGTCATTGATCTTGAATAATTTGGGGAATAGAAACTACTGGACTTTGCTTTGCTGCAATTTTGTTCATAACTCATTTTAAAGAATAGAAACTCTATTTGCATGTGTTCTGCTCTGGGTTTAAGTTCTAGATTCATTTACTCTAACTGACCAAACTTCCTGTCCTGTCTAGCTCGAGTCATTGACATCTCAAATGGCAAAACTGATGTGGCAGAAAGCTGTTTGGAGGAAACAGGCGGGCTGGGAGTAGATATTGTCATAGATGCTGGAGGTTTGTAACTGCTGCAGAATTGCTTTGCGGAGTGGTATTTGATATTTTTATTTTTGACAAATTGCAAAACACGTCAATTAAAAGCACACCTGTATAACAGACAATGATTGTATCTATTTTTACACAATGTGGAAATGCAGTTGTGCCTTTGCTGGGTAGAATATTAGACCTTCTTACATGTATGCGATCAAATCACCTTTTTTGGAAGTGTCTAATACTATTGCAGAGTCATTCAGATTAGTACTAGTTGTTAAGTGAACATTTTACCAATTATATTACTTTTAAATAAAACTCCTTACTTATGTTGCAAATCATTTATTTCTCCTTGACAGTATATGATGCTAGATGACAAAAACTGAGGTGTTTGATAATCAAAATAAATAAAATTCATCCCTAAATCCTGCTTGATACCTTTTGTTCAGTTTGAAATAGCTGAACAGGAATCAGCCTGGAAGAAATTTGTACTACCATTGTTTATGTTGTTTAGTGGATAAAGTAAGAACATATATCTCCAATGCAGTCGGTCAGCACCTTGCAGGAGCATTACAGCCCAGAGTGAAAGTGAGTAAGCCTCCTGTGGTGAGAATATTACTTGCTTTACAATTGTCAGACTGTATTACTGTTTTATGACAATTGAAGCATTTATGGGACTATATAGAAAGACTACCACTGAGCTCTAATTTTTTGACAGGAAAATATAATAATGTTAGTAGTATTGCTTCATAGGGGTTCTGCTTTTGCATATACTGTAATTCCATAAAAACATTTTCAGCTGTATTTAAGCACTGCTAAGCATCTGTTTTTGTCAGTTTGCAAATCAGTGTAGTAAAATACAAGGTATCTCAAAAACAGTTGTTTGCTGCATAAAAATACGTTTAGAGTCAATTTAAGACTTAATGGTAAAAACAAGAATGAGGAAGGTCTAAAATTGTCCAAGCCATGTACTTTTCCCTGAGAAATCTTCATGAGATTCTGTTTTTTATTGCAAAACATATTTTTTGCTAATGTGGAAACTGAACATAAAATGTATTTTTTTTGGTCATTGTACTTAAATTGCATTCCTTGTTTGGTTTGTTTTTAAGTGAAATTATACAGTAAAGAATACGAATCATCATTAAAACAGCAACTGCTGCCACACAAACATGATATCATTACACTTCTTGGTGTTGGAGGTCACTGGGTAACCACAGAAAAAAATCTCCAGGTAAGGGCACAAATACTGCAAGTTTACTCTTAACCACAGGAGCTATATTAGACTAACTGTCCATTAGCTGAATGTTCTCCCACTGCTAAAATAAATACAAATCAGTTTGTACACACACATGTACAAACTCACACAAATCTTGGTGTTTATTTCCAAAGAGCAGGAAGTACTTTTGCAACATTAACAAATATCTTTATTTCTGTCCTATAACAAATCACTGTGTCATTTTGTAGGAGCAGTGGTGATGGTGTAGAAAAGAAATCACTATAATAGCATGCATATGCCATTATGGAAGCATTCATTCTGTTTGGCTCAGAATATTGAACTGATTTGCCAGTCAGAGAAGTACTATTTCTTAATAAATTAAACTTTTTAAAATATTATTAATCAATTAATTTCTGATAGATTGGAAGAGGTTTTCCCCTCATCTTTTAGCAGTAAATATAAATGAATTATCCACTAATTCATTTTCATTTGAGAAAATGTAATGATGTTTCCATTAATTTGTTTAAGTTGGACCCTCCAGATAGCCATTGCTTGTTCCTTAAGGGAGCCACAGTCTCTTTTCTGAATGATGAAGTATGGAATTTGTCAAATGTTCAACAAGGGAAGTATCTTTATATCCTTTTAATAATGATTTTAGATGCTAATCAGTAATCTGCTTGTGAGATGGAAAAATTAAGAGAAATTTACTAGTATATACCCTGTTCTAACAAAATACCTAAGCAAGTGGTAAATTTTAACCATGTGATTAAATATTTGCTATTCCAGAAACATACTAACCATTTTTAATATAATTTTTCATTATTGTTTTGACAAAACTTTGTATGTTGATTGCCTCCAAGTTTCTACTTTGGGAAAAGCTGAACAGAAAACTAAAACAAAATATTCTGAAGAGAGTAAAATATTAGGGCCCTGATCCTCAACCAGTGTAAATCAGCATAACTCCATAGATGACAATGCAGTTGTTTGTTTACACCAGCTGAGAGTCTGGCACCTTAAATCAAATCTTATCTATGCTTTTACATTTTCAGGATTATTTGTTCTCCATTCTTCTAGGCATTATTTTTTTTATCTACAAATCTTAACTTTTGCATTGTAATGACTAAACAAAAATATTTAATAACTCATTGTTATGCTTTTGTCTTCACGGGGACTATATTTTTAAGAAATTATACCCTATTTGCAAATTCTATGTACCTACATTCTGTTGAGCAAACTCTGTATGTGTACACACCCATGAGTACCTGCTGGTAGAGAGATGAGTGGCTCTTTATATAAAAACACTATTTCTACCTTTCGTTGCAAATGTAATCATAGTTTTAGGATTCTTCCTTTTTTCTGCCCAGCACTGTAGATCATGAGACCTGCTGAAATCATTTTTGCCGTTCAGCAGAAAAGGAGTTTAAAGATTAAGTCTCTGCATTCTAAAAGGGAATTAGCTACATAGAGACTCTTGGGTGAAAGGAAGTCTCCCCCTCCCTACACCCAACTTAATTGCACAATAGTTGAACCACAGTTAAGCACGCCAAAGGGCTTGTCTACATGAACAGTAATGTGGGTGATGAAACAAGTAATCATGAATATCTTTTTTTTTTGTTATTTGTTGACATTCCACTTCAGTACAGCTCTATAAAATTTCCTGATTATAATAATGACTAATAAGTCTGAGAAATACAACTTGTATTCTTAGCTCTTAAACTAAACACAGAGGATTTATTTTGTCTTCTCTTATTCTGTCCTATAATCACAGAATGTACTTTGTTTACCACAAGTTGTTCAAACAGAATAACAGCTTTACCTCGAATTGTTCTTTAGATACACTGCACATATTTATGTGATCTGAAGAGAACATTTTTTTACAGAAAAAGACACCAGGAGAGATCATATGGGGATCAGATTGAAGTGGCTTACATTTTAAAAGTAAATGAACCCAAGTTAAATTTTCTGGTGACTGTCAGGGTTTTACTGACAAAAAGTGTCCATATAGATATGGTGTTAGTCTTCAATGTTTTTGTCAAAGACAGTGCTGTCCACACTAATGCTTTTATGTCAGTGGGAGATACTCAACCACCAACATAGGTACTGCCGTTCACTGGGGATGGTTAAGCCAGCGAGAGAGCTCTCTTCCACCGACATAAAGTGGCTACATGGGAGGCCTTACAGTGGCACAGCTGAAGCAGTCTTAATAAAATCCTCTTTTCCCCATTGGCATGAGTGATGCTGATTAGTTAAAAAAAATTAATTTCTTAGAAATGTGCATAGCATTTATATAAGTTGCATTCCCTTGTGAGTTTATGAAATCCCTGTTCTACTTTACATGTTCTTCTTCTCCCAGGCGTGTCTTGATTTTTACCTCTGAGAACTAGTTATCCATCATTCATACAAATAACTCATACCAAAATCTATCATACTTATTCTATAAAGAATGGGAACCACCGTGGTCTGTTTAATGATGGGCATTGTAACTAGTGCTGTGGTTAAAATTATTTAAAATTTTTATTTTTAATTGTTACAGCACTAGATTTGCTAGGTACTGTGGCAATTGTATTTGTTGTAAGATACATTTGTCTACCTGTCTTGTTTGTTTTGTTTTAGAAAGCATAGTTGTAACACATAATCAAATATGGACCTCAGATTAACTCTATTCCCAGTGTTTAAATCATCTCATTTAAGCTTTGGCCCTGAGAGCTCTGCCTAGATGGATGTATCTGCCCTGAGAAAATATGACTGCAGCACGGTGGATAAGCCACTTATGTATATATTGTTACCTTAACTGCCCTCTCAGATACGTATCTTAGAAGATATAATGGAGAAGTTATCAAATAGTATTTTCAGGTAAGAGATGTACCACAGTGAAAACAAACTCTTGATTAATATTGAGCTTTACTCTGAGAAATAACTATTCTTCAGAATACTCATCACCTATTAACTTCAAGTGCTACATTATGAGAAAAATTCTCCTGAACAATTTATATGAAACTATTTATGATACATCATGGTAATTAGCCTGCTGCAGTACCACATGGAAGAATTGTGTCCAATTCCTGTTTTTTCTGTCCTTTAGATCAGCACTGTTTTGAAATCCATCAGAAATAGAACATTCTTTGCTTGTGGGGAGTGGATACCATGTGGTTTTTAACAATATGGGTACTGCAAACTTACTTTGAAATGAGCTATTCCGGAATAGTTATTCCAAAATAGCACATCTTGGCTATGTCTACACTGGCGGCTTCTTGCCCAAGAACATCTTGCACAAGAATATCTTGTGCAAGAACTCTTGCACAGGAACACATCCACACTGCCATGTGCGAGATGTGCTTTTGCGCAAGAGCGCCCATGGCAGTATGGACGTTCTCTTGAGCAAGAAAGCTCTGATAGCCATTTTAGCCATAGGGCTTTCTTGCGCAAGAAATCCCTGCCATGTGTCCACACTGCCCTCTTGTGCAAGAGCTCTTGCACAACAGAGCTTACACCTGTTAGAAAAGAGCATAGCTCTTGCGCACAAAGCCCTCTTACCATGCTGTACTGTAAATCTTCTTGCGCAAGAGCAGGTGGGCAGTGTGGAAGCTCTGTGGAAAAATGGCCGTTCTTGTGCAATAACCCACCAGTGTAGACATAGCCTTACAGTGCAGGGAAGCCTCAAAATTAGTCAGAGGCAATTTTCCCTAATGTAGATGTGCTATCTTGTTTTAGAGCCCCAGGAGGCACTGGGGAGGAATAACTTAGAATGACTCATGAGGGGCTGTTTTGACATAGCAGCAGTGGAGTGTCTGCACATGCCTTATTTCAAAATAGCTATTTCGGAATAGGCATTATTCCTTGTAGACTGAGCTTTACACATTTCGGAATAAGCCGTCTGTTATGAAATTATTTTGAAATAATGGAATGGCTGTGTAGATGCTCTCATTGTTATTTCAAAATAATGCTAGTTTATCTCAAAATAATGGTGCAGCGTAGACACACCCTATCTGATTGTAGAGTGTTATTGGCTCAAAATGGAAATCTTTCTAGTTTTCCTGCCAAACAAATGATGGCATCAATAAAATTTGAGGCTGCTATAAGTGGGGAAAAGGGCGATTCTCACAGTTTATACAAAGAGTGGAAAGAGCAGCTCTTTCACCCACCAAAAAGCCAAAATACAATCAGCATATCTTGAATTAAACTTCTGTTTTCTGATTACTTTACAGCTCTGCAGTTCTTCCTGGGATTCTAGCAGAGCTTTAAAATGTTTATTTTGTTTAAGAAGTAAAATTGACATAGTAAAAAGTAAAGTCTACTGCAATAATCTTGGAATGTTTCTTATTTATCTGAGAGCATGCACACCAGACACTTCTGACAGATTGCTCACTTTTAGGCCTCAGTTGGATGAACCAGTCCCATTGTATGAAGCCAAAGTTTCTGTGGAAATAGTTCAGAAGAATCAAGCAAGAAAAAGACAAGTTATCCAATTCTGAAGCACAATTTCTTGTTTCAAAGACTGTGAAAGACAAAGATATGTAACATATTTGAGAAGTAAATTGGTTTTCAGCTTCAAATAGTTCTATAACTAGTGTCTGAAGATATCCGGGTAGATGGTCTGGGAAGTTTTTGGTACTGAGATGTTTAGTTTCCCTTTATTAAATCTAATAAAATGTTTCCATCAGCAACTTTACGGAGACACCATTAACTTAAAAATCACGTCTGTCTGATTTTTTCCCTCCTGTTAGTGTTATAAATAACATTTTAAGATTGTTTTGGGGTCGGAGAACAAATATTTTTTTCTGCTTGTTCAGATTTTTTTTTTTTTTTTGCTTGCCTTTCATAGCACCTGAGTAGTCTGCTTCAGTCTCTTTTTAAATAGAAGAGACAAATATTAGAAAAAACAGGGAAAATATAGTTGTAAAACCAGCAAAATTGATTGTACTAGGGGATTCTAGGAAGAGGCACCACTTTTAACAGTTTTTCTCAATTTATTTAATTTTCAAGTTTATTGTGAGCTTTTAAGATTTGAATTACTATTCTATGACCATTTCATAATATCACACTTTTATATAGCTATAAAATTAAGATAGACAAATGTGATTGAAAGATTACACAGATATGAGATCAGCCTTTTGTTTTAGTGTTCAATTCATATTAATGTTCAATGAACTTTGTTGTAAGTAGATTTGTTTCTTTTTAAATGGCTAAAGTGGATTTCCATCTCTACCATCCTTCCTAAAATACCTACTTCGTTTCATGTTCACCCTTTCACTTCTGCTCTTTAAGCTTAACTAGTCATACACTAATTTAATGAAACACTAATTTAATGAAACAAGCTTAAATAATGCCATCCTCCTTTTCACCACCACACTGCTGCAGGATATATCCTCAAGGGAAAAACTACAGTTCTTTCAATGGAGCATACAGCTTCTTTGCTTGTTACTACTTGAGATCTGAACCACACTGTCTCCAACTGTTCTGTTAATCTAAATATCACTATTGGGGAAAATAGCTCAAACTATGAGAACTAGTATTTTGAAGACTAGGGACTACATTGTTGGATATCATCCTGAATAACCGTTATGTAATGTTGTAGCCATGTTCATCCCAGGGTATTAGAGAGATAAGGCTGGTGAGGTAACATCTTGGGCTAACTTCTGTTGGTGAAAGAAACAAACTTTCAGGCTTATACAGAGCTCTCTTTCAAATCTGGGGATTCTCCCTCTCCGCATCCAGCCCCAGACCTGAAGAAGAGCTCTGTGTAAGATCAAGCATCTCTCTCCAACAGAATTTGGTCCAATAAATTATCATCAACCACCTTTCATTTCTTCTTCAACAGTATGTCAGTTTATTTTGGTGTGCTATGCTCTAGACATTGGGATTATCCATGTCATCAGTATATCATATAATGCAGATTCTAAGAAGTATGAAAAAATATTCATTTTTCCGTTGGTGATAATGCAAGCCTGAGAATAGGCGCTGTTTCAAGCGGAACATACATATAATATTACAAAGGCATTGATCTCTCTGGGTATGTTTACATTACAGAGAAGATTGAAGCTGCTGCTCTCAAACTTCCAAGGTTCGAATTAGCGGGTCTAGTGATGACATGCTAATTCAAACTGAGCAGGGCGCTCCGATCAGTGCCGGTAGTCCTACTTCCATGAGGAGTAAGGAAAGTTGAAGAAAGAGTATATCAGCTCCTGATAAGGCTGGTTTGACTGCTTTCTTCACTCCTTAGGGCCTTCAAGAGAGGGTAATCAGAATGGCATCCACTCTGGATATTCCACTAACAACTTTGGTCAAGATGACACACATGCTTTATTCCAGCCAAAGGAGTGACAGCCTCACACTATGTTTAGACTGTAAAGTTCTATCAGAAAAAGATACGCAAATTGCAAACCGCAATTTGTGTATCTTTTTCAGCCTTTTTTTTTCCCCAAAAACTCCTTTTCCTAAAGTTGGCCCATCTACATGGGGCCAAATTTCAGAAAAACCTCCTCTTTCAGAACAGCCCTTATTCCTCATACAATGAGGAATATAGGGATGCTGAAAGAACGCGTCTGCTTTTTTGGAAACTGTTCTGAAAAAGCAATAGTGTTCTTGGACACAGCAGAACTTTTCCAGGATTCCTCTGGTATCCCGGAAAAGCTCTTCAGTGTAGATACAGCCTGAGTCACTAGATGGCTGTAGTTTTTTCGTCATGGTGATAAAAATTATCTGTACCAGGTCTATACCAGCTCCATCGACAACAGTGCAATGTCAGCAGTACTAGACTAATGCCAGGAAAATCACTTGTATAGACTAGGTCCAAATATGAAACGCTCCTCCCTGTTCTATCCCTGCAGATAAACGGAGTGTTAGCAATATATGAGAAGTGATTCTGCTATACTGCATGCTTTTTCTAATTAGGAGGAGTATGGTAAGTAGGACACATGAAATAATTCTGCTCTACTCTGTGCTGATTAGGTTTAAATTGAAGTATTGTGTCCAGTTCTGGGTGCCACATTTCAGGAAAGATGTGGACAAATTGGAAAAAGTCCAGAGAAGAGCAACAAAAATGATTAGGTCATGGTTTCTAGACCTTTATGAGGTAAGATGGAAAGAACTGGATTTGTTTAGTATGGAAAAGAGAAGACTGACAGGAGATATGACATAGCTTTAAAAAATTGTTACATGGAGGAGAAAAAGTATTCTCTTTAATTTCTGATAGTAGGACAAGAAACAATATGTTTAAATTGCAGAAAGGGAAGTTTAGACTGGATATCAGTGAAAAATTCTTAATTGTCAGGGTGGTTAACCACTGGAATAAATTTCCTAGGTGGTTGTGGAATCCCTATCATTGGAAATTGTTAAGAGCAGGTTAGACAAACACCAGTCAGGGATGATCTAGATCCATGGTCACCACCCCTTTGATCATGATCGACTGGTCAGTTTTGGGGATTTGACCAGTCGATCGCAAGACATTCCAGGTCTCCCCTCAGCCCCCTCCCTCCCCAGACATTTTCCACACCCACAAGAAGTAGCCTGTTCTGGTGTGGCCTCCTGTGAATATGGAGGTGGCACTGGCTTCCTGTGGCCTGGGGAGAGAAGTCCCGTGTCTGCATGCCAGACCCAGCGTCTTAGGAAGCACGCAGGCTGCTCCTCCCCCTTCCCCAAACAGCCATAGTGCTTCCTAAAAAGCTAGGTCTGGTGCACAGCTGGGGACTTTCTTCCCCCTGCTGCTTGCCTTCCTGCACCGACAGTGGGAGGGAGGGGAAGTCCCAGGCTGTGGGACCCTCCTGCCCCATGCAGGAAGGCAGCAGGGGGAAGGAAGTCCCCAGCTGTGCGCCAGATCCAGCTTCTCAGGAAGCACATGCGCTGCTCCTCGAGGGGAGGAGCAGCTCGCGTGCTTCCTGAGATGCGGGCTCGGCTCCGGTGTGCAGCCTAAGCCCCTCCCCCCGCTGGCCAGACACCCACCAGCACCCTGCTTTTGCCCCCTCCCTCCTGGCCAGACACCAGCTGGTTCCTGTACCCCATTTTCCACACAGATTCTGCCCCCATTCCTACCCTACTCACTGGCAGCCCTGTCCCGCACACTGGATCCCTCATTTTTGGCCCTACCGCACAGTATAGAGGGCCCCATAAATTCCACTAACCCTGAAACCCCAGAAAAGTTAATCTGGCCTGAGGACTTGAACCTCAGTCCTACCTACCCTCCCCCCCATATGGATCTGGGGTGCCAGGGGAGTGAGATGTTCAGTTGGAGCCATGTCAGTGGGGTTTGGAGGGATTGGTTTTTTGCATCTCACTTGTGTAGTCCCAATTGATTTTTCTGTGGGTTACTGACCCCCAACCCAAAGCAGGTTCCCCACTCCTCTCATAAATAAAGACAATTCTGAAACATTTTGTGTTGGACATAATATTTTATTTAAAAATTATCCTGGCCAACTAGTGCCTAATTAGGGCCAAGCCCCTATCTGGCTGCAGCATCATAACACTCTTGCACCCAGACTACAACCCTGAGGCCCTCATACACCTGAACCCCTTCTCCTGAGCCCCTCACATCCCCAAACTTCTGTACCCCCACATCCCCAAGTCTTCTGCCACAACACTCCTACACCATCCCCACACTGCAAATCTGTGTCGTGGGCCCATCATACTTCCAACTGCCCTTCCCTGAGCTCCTCATACCCTCCATCCCAAACTCCTGCACCCCCACATCCACAAGTCTGCACCTTGCTTACCAACCTGACCCAAACACTCTCCAGCTTGGAGCCCCCACCGTGAACCAGCATCCCCTTCTCCACCTCCTCCAGTACCCAAATTCCCTTCCAGAGCTTGCACCTCTCATCCCTTCCAACACCCAAATCCCTCACCTCCGGTCTTAATCCAGTGAAGAGTAAGGAAGGGCTGGGAACAGCAAAGGATGGAGAGGGCTGGGCCTCAAAGAAGAGGTGGGGTTTTGGGGACGGGATGGGGTAGATCTTGGCTTACCCTGAAATTTAAAAAGTGATCTTTAGTGTAAAAAGGTTGGAGACCACTGGTCTAGATGGTGCTTGGTCCTGCCATGAGTGCAGGAGCCAGGATTTGACCTCTTGAGGTTCCTTCCAGTTCTTTGGTTCCATAATATTCTTTCTGCATATACCATTCTAATAGTAATCTTACAGGTTTCTGTAAATAGCCTGTAATTAGTGGCTGTGATATATCTTGAAATAAAGATTTTTCTTCTGTCTTGTTCTAACATACACATATTTTCCATGAGCAGGTTAATCTGTTTTCCTAGTATCTTTAAGATCATTTAAAATGTTGGTTGGACTCAGCACTGGAGTGTTTGGAGTTGGGGAATGGTGCAGTTTTGTAATGTATTCTAGAGTCAGAGAAATGCATGAGAGTAACAAGCAGATGAAAATCACTTGTGTTGGGGCGGAGGCACCCCTTTGAGTATCAGTACATACATGACAAGCAAAGGGTGGAATAAACAGCTTCTACTGAGCCTCAACCTACACCCTGAGGTTGTATAATATAGGAACACAAACGTATACCCTCCTATTTTAATATCTGGCAATCATCTTTACACTGTATCTTTGATAACAGTTTTCCATGATGGGTACTGGATCTTTTTTTGTAAAGCTTTATTGAGCTCATCACCTGCTCCTCATGTTTCAAGCATTGACATTTTTCATATTCCCATTATCAGATAACTACTACTGTTGTGTATGCCTGGCTAACCATTTTATTTGAATATAAGAAAATGTAGCAGTTGCCTGGGCATTGTTTCAAAGCAGCACCTTTGTGCTTTTAACTTATTTGACTTTCCAGTTTTGACATCAGTCCTATAGCACTCCCTTCAGCTAAAGAGTATAAAGGTAGAGACTGATTCCAGCTTGCAACTACACAATATATTTTCTGGAAATCATTCTAGTTAGGAAATTCCCGTTTGTGAATAGTATTTGCAGTGAAGGGAAAGACTTATCATGCCCCCATCAGGCCATGACTGATGAGAGATGCAGGTGTGGTAATAGTACTGTTCATACCCAGAGTTTAGTAGGAGTGTCAGTTTGACAAAATGTGTGTGTATGCTGTAAATCAGGACTACTCCACTTTGGAAGCCCCAGGGCACACAATGATGCTCACAGCACCTGCCAAGGCCCGCACCTTAACTGGGGTTGCATATACATGCAACCAGCTTCTTTCATGCTGATGGGCATGCATATAAAGATTAGGGCAAGACAATATAACATGCAGGCCCCGTTTAAGTCAGTTGTGCTGATACTAATAAAATGCTATAGTTATCTGATTTCCACCCCTATGCCAGTGCTTTTAATGAGCAATGACAAGCCAGAAATTTAACCACTAAACCAGGTATCAGCAGAAGACCATTCTATTGACTACTGTTTTGTTTCGGCTCCCACTGGCAGGCTGCAAACAAATGGGCCATGGGTGATGTAATAGTCACGCTGTACACTGTGCATAAGAGTGTGTGTGTTTGCATATATATATGTATGTGTGTCAGCTAAATAGGGTGCACATATAAGTAGTGTACGTCATGTATGCAGATGGCATGAGTGTGCGCAAGGTCCCAGTTTTTGGAGGGGGGAAGATCCTGTCCGCCTTACTCGGGCGAGTCTCTAAATCTGCTGGGTGCAAAGAAAACTGTTACCGCTGGCTGCCGGAGGCAGAGGGAGCCGCTCACCTGAGGAGACGGGGGGGCCTCTCCGCGCCCGTGGCGCGCCCGGCAGAGGCTCGGCTCGGCGGCGCTGGCCCGCCC